TGATTAGCTCTTGTTTGTGTTCTTTTTCGGACATACTGAAGTCAAAATATTTCCCCAAGTATCGAAACGACTCTCCAATTTTAGTGGCAGGTATCAATTCATTGTTAATCAGAAGTTTAGGTAAATATTGGATAGATTTTGTGAGACTTTTCCTGATCCCAAATGTTGAACACTTATCAACCCTGACAATCATGTTAGACCACTGGCACCAGGTCGAGAATCGATTATAATAATAATAATAATAATAATAATAATAATAATAATAATAATAATAATAATAATAATAATAATAATAATAATAATAATAATAATAATAATAATAATAATAATAATAATAATAATAATAATAACAATAATAATAATAATAATAATAATAATAATAATAATAATAATAATAATAATAATAATAATAATAATAATAATAATAATAATAATAATAATAATAATAATAATAATAGTCTTTATTAAAATACTCAGATACATCCGTCTGAGTTTACAATCGAAAGGTAATTGATCTAGATAGTTATATTTACAATGTAAGTTAAGAAGCGTAAAAAGTTTTAAAAAGTTTTAAATACATTAAAGTCTAAACAAAGTTATACAGACAACGATTTATGAACGACCTTTTGAATCTTTCTGTTCTTACTAGGGGGAGTTCATACTCATGCCCTCTAGGCCTAAGTAACCTACATCTTCTTTTTCCGGCAGCAGTTCAAGCAATGCATTGTCCTCAGTTGATGTTATTTTGTTCCACAGTTTCTTATCTCTCTTATCACGTATTTCTTTAATGTGTGTTCGTTTTGATATATAGCTATTCTTATGTGCACGTTTAATGAATTTATCTATTTGGTTCAAATATTTACCGTCATACGCACAACCCCACAGCTCAATAGCAAAAGTGAATATCGACATAATTAGGCTATCAAACAGCAGATCTAATTGTTTAATTGATAGTCCATAGTATTTGCAAACTCTCATAATACACATTCTTCCACTTGCTTTTTTGAGAATTTCTTCGAAGTGCAAATCCCAGTTGCACGGATTATCTTGCAGCGTAACTCCTAAAAGCTTTAGCCATGTTTTTCGCTTAATTGAAGGGATAAGCTCAGGCAAAACTACAGAGGTGTGTCTGCGAACAACCATTTCGTACGTTTTTTCCAAGTTTAAGGGCATTCTATTCTCTTCCGCCCAATCCTGTAAACAGGCAGCTTCAGATCGAGATGTGTCACCACTTTCGTTGCCACGCACTCCTAACGTCAAATCGTCTGCAAATTTGACTAACGCATTACTAGGATCAGCAGTTTTAATATCATCAACCATTATTGAGAAAAGAACTGGGCCTAAAACGGTCCCTTGAGGAACACCATGATTAATATATAAATATTCTGTAACAATTCCATCAACCATTACTCTTTGTATTTTATTTTCTAGAAAGCTAATTATCCAGTTCACCACATACGGATTAATGGGTAGCTTTTTAACTTTTTCAAACAAAAGATCGTGGGGCACACTGTCAAATGCTTTGCTGAAATCGAAGGACAGCACTCTAACATAATTAGCGTTTTTATCCAGCCACTCTAGCCATTGATGTTGGTATTTAATCAGGGCCATAGTCGAGTTGTGACCCTTTTTATAAGCAAATTGGTCAGGACCAATGTTATTTCTTGTGATAGGCGCGACTTCAGATTTATACACGCACTTCTCGAATAGTCTCATGATGATGTCTGTCAGAGAGATTGGTCTTAACTGGTTGCACGAATTTAATGGTGATCCTTTAGGGAGTGGTAATAAATTAGCGGATTTCCATTTCTGAGGTACTTTGCTGGTTTTTAGTGACATGTTAAAAATTTCTGTGACAATAGGAGCTAATTCAATAGCAAACGATTTCCAAAACCAATATGGCAGATTGTCCGGACCCGATGAAGAAAGAGCGTTTTTGATTCAGTAAGATTTGAGCGTTTTTGATTTAGTACCCTCGCCCCGGGCTTACGAATGGAACGGGGAATAAGGCTATGTTTTAATTTTGGAGAATTTCGAATTTAAGCCATACCCTTAATTTTCAAGAGTTTTACAATTAAGACACAGCCTTAATTTTGTAATATAATTCGTTATTCGTCTGACACTCACTGACAGGCTATAATTTTGAGATAGCTCGGTCTCTTCCGAAAATTAAGGCTGTGTCTTAATTGTAAAAAGCGTTCAAATTAAGACATTGCCTTAATCTTAAACCTAACCCCCACCCAACCCTCTAACCCTAATCTAAACTTAGTTTAACCAGGGACGCCGAAACTGGGGGCCAGGAGGGGCAGCCGCCCCCGTTACCCTTTACCAGGAGGGGCAAGGGGGGCAAAGGTGCCCTTTCAATTTAAAAATGGCGAAATAGCGAATTGTCAGAAATGTTAGTGCAATTCTTTTACGAATTTGCTTCAGAAAACGCGAGAAATGCAGTCATCGAGCTTCAAGAATAGCACAATCGCCCGGCGGAGAACCCCTCACACCCCTATCATCCAATCAATAGAAAACATGATTAGGCGAAGTTCAACTCCCGATGTTTCGCAAACATCTCTTAGTATATATCAATTCGAAAGTGCCCTTTCATGAAAATCTGCCCCCGTTGCCTTCACATCGTTCCGGCGTCCCTGAGTTTAACCCTAATCCAATCCAAATCTGGCGACCTTTTTTTTTCTTCATATCTCTTCCTTTAGTCGTCTAACCCAGAGCCTAATTTTCAACAAGTGAAAAGGCTCTGGGGACAAGAATGGGTTGAATGCAACTTTAGTTTTACTCAGCAGTATAAATTTCACAGAATGTTACAAAACAATGCGCCTTTAAGGCCCTGTTACACGGTGCAATTTTTCATGCAACTTGTCTCGCAATGGCGTTGCGAGACAAGTTGCACGAGTCATTGCACCGTTTAACATGCCTTGCAATGGTCAAAATCTTTGCGAGACAAGTTGCATGAAGCATTGCACAGAGTAGAAGTCGGTTCTACTTTTGGCAACGATTGCACTAATTATTTTTAGCATTGCAGCGTGTAACATGGCTTCGTGCAACTTGTCTCGCAACGTTTATAGCTTGGAGAGTTCCTATTGGCTCTCCCCAGTACACGCTTTACTTTAATTAAAATTTGGCGCCAAATAGCGCCTCTCCCTAGTCTCTTCGCAGCCTCTGTCCCGTATCGTTGCGAGTTGCATGAATATCATTGCAGCGTGTAACACCTCTTGCAATGCATTATCAAAATCTTTTTTTAAACATTGCGAGACAAGTTGCATGAAAAATTGCACCGTGTAACAGGGCCTTTACCGCGTGGCAGCTGTGAGATTTTAAAGATGATTGGAAATCTCGATTGCTTTGAAAGATACGGTCAACAATCGATTATTCTGTTTTGTTATCAAAGATGTATACAAATTATAAAACTGCTAAATTTTCTTCGTAATACCGATTTTTGTCCTAAAATACTTGTTGGTGGAAAAATTCACTAAATCGAACGGAAATCGAGGTAAAATGGTATATTGAAGTAGGTATCAGGCTTCGGCGGAATTAAATTCAACATGGCGACCAGGGTGTCAGGAACTAGCGGCTAAATCGAGGATGCACATTTGCCCGACGCCATCTTGAATTCCGCGCAATGACCTGGGTCTCAGTTATGATGTCATAGTATCTATCATGAATGATGTAATAAAAACAAACGTATTCGCGGGAAAATGAAAATATTGGATTCTGATTGGATAATTGTCGCTCGCACATTACCTAAATACTAAATTGTTATGTATATAAATAAAGCTAGTTTACAGCAGCAAAAATCACAATAAATACACTTTTGATGCTTTTAAATCATAAATAATCATATTATAATGTCTTATTTTAGCTTTTGATTTCATATAAAGGAAAATAAACCGATCGAAAATACAAAATAACAGCATTTCGCGTATCGAATTTCTCAGTGATTTGTATGCATTAATCGACACTTAAGCCCGTTCTCCACTACGCGAATTTGTTCGCGCGAAGCGAAAACCGAAATCCGGCAACGTGATTGGTCGGCGAAAAAATTCGCGGCGAAAAAGTAGGATCGCTTCCTACTTTTTATCTGTTCGCGCGAATAAATTCGCCTAGTGGAGAACGGGCTTTAGTCTCTGGCACGCAAATTTACTTTCGTATAGTGAGCACATAGTTGTGTGCACGGTAGATGGAAATTCCGAAAATACCCTTCGATTCTGCATGAAATTCTGTATCAACAGCCCTAGTTTTCCTTTTTCATTCAAAAACTGAACAGAGATATTCGCCATTTAATACTCTAAAACTCGAGTCTTTACCCTACTATAGGAATTTGTGTACAGAGAAGATGGAAAATCGGAGAACACCATTGAATTAGCAAATAAAAATCAGCATCTTTTCATAGTAAATATCTCTAGTCAATTTAATAAAGAAAACTTTTTATCGCGTGTTTACTTCCCAGCTGACAATAGAAATAAACTACGGATGTAGACAAGGGATACAAGAGCACTTTAATGGATAACCATTTCACTAATTCATTATTATCACTAGAAGTTACTATCGCAAGGAAATGCTGCCTCGCCCCAAGCACAGATGTATAATCTATCATCTGTGCCCCAAGGGACGAAAACATCGTAGATTCTCGGACTAGCTTCTGGACTTTTTCCAGTTATATCTGCTTCAAGCATTTTATCTATTTCTGCATTTACTTTTCCACTTTGACTTAAAAGTAATCTTCTAAGTTTTTTAATAACTGACGCTCATTATTTACAAATATACTGCATCTTATTGAATGGTTTGACCACTGAGCTATGGGTTTCACATATAATCCGGCCCAGTATTTACGAGTTTCAAACGTATTTTACCGAGTCCTGAAAGGGCGATAAAAATGCGAATAAAGAAAATCAGCGATCTAAAAAGGGTATGGAAGGAAGATATAAGAGAAAATCTGGATGAAGAGAAATGATAAGATGCTCATGCAGTAATGGAATTAAGGCACTCTCAAAGGCGCGGAAAGCAATTGAATTATAACCATACTACATTTACAATCAATAGTCAATTCCCTTGAGAAACTGTTTTTCACGTCATACGTGTTTTTGATTTTTATAAAAGATTATTTTACAGTTACAATACAGACATTTTTATCCTGAATTCTTAAGCATGGCATTTACATTACTAACTATATAATGAATATAAGTGCATTCCAAATTGGCCATTTCATGCAATTATGTATTTAATCGACAGTATTGGATGTATATATATATATATATCTCCTATATTTACACTGTGGTATGTAATTACACGATTTGTATGTATTAATGAAATCGTAAATACTGTAGTTTAATTTTCGATCAACAGATTTACATTTATAGTGCACTAGCTTTGTCATTTTTTATTGAACATTGGTATTTAAATTCTAACAAGATGCATTACGCATCATTCATTTCAGAAACGTTTCCTAAAATAAAAAATAGATTAACATAGATTAGAAGTAAATAGGACTTTGCATAAATTATCAAATAAATGAAAACAATAAGTGAGTGGATGGTATGGCTAATTTAGCCAGCTATGTGGGGTCGAAGGTACAACTCACCACTATGGGATGGGGGGGGGGGGGGGGGGGTTTTTTTGGAAA